AATGATTCCAACAGCTCTATAAGGTTGAAAACTATTTTATCAATTTTTTTAAAAAGCCCTATAAGGTCGGTATTATTATCTACTTTTATAAATAAATGCAAAAAGTTGGTAATACAATTATTCAGCTAGTAGGGAAAGAGGCAAGATTAAGGCTCGGATAGGTATGACTCCAAAGTGTATGTCCTGATGTTCTAGGAACTGGCTGACGTACGGGAAAGCCCAGCTCCAGCATGTGGGACACTCCAGTGGCCTCCTACTGTGGTTGGATCTGCTCAAGTGATGGTGGACACAGATTCAGTGTGGGTTGTTGGTAGACTTTTGGTGGCCGGCAAAGTAGCAGGTCACTAACATTAGAACCAAAAACCAGGGACATCTGGTCTGTGTGCAAGGATACAACATGGAAAAAAGGTACAAAGCATATGAACAGGTAACTCTTAGTAGGGGAAATTCAGTTTGTAAGAAACAAACACCAAACCAACCCAGACCAAATCATAACAAAAGGATGCAAACAGACTCAACCTGATTAATAGGTAGGGTTGTATAGGTTAAAGTACAATTTTTAAATCCATTAAAAATTTTAAAAAGCTGTCAATACCAGGAACTGACAAGGATATGGAATCAAATAAATTTATATATTGCTGGTAGAGGAGAAATTGTACAACTATGTTGCAAAACAACTTGGCAATACCAGTAAAGTCAAAAACTTGCAAATCCTATGCCCTAGGAATTCCGTATCTAGATTAAAACTCCTAAGGAAACTGGCACAGTTTCACCAGAAAGCATTTAGAAGAATACTTATAGCACCACTGTCTCTTATAACAAAAAATGGGGAAATCACTCAAATGTCCATTGACAGGAAAATGCATAAACGGGGTGCAATTGACCTGTATAGCAGAATACCACACCGCAGTGAAAATAACTGAACCATAGCTACATACAACAGTAGAAAGGCATAACATAAACTATGCTGCCTGGAGAAGATAGCAAATTACTCTACACAGTATATTGCCACTTATACCGATTGCAAAACTAAACAGGCACATGCAACAAACTCTTAAAAAAAAGAGGAATAATAAGAACAAAACTCAGGGTAATGGTCTATCCAACAAGGAAAAGCAGAAGTATGACAGCAAGAAAGTGCATAGGGGGCTTTCTTGGTTTTATCGTCTTTCTAAAGTTATAATATCTGGACATTAGGCCTATACATTTATACATATGGGTGTTCATTTTATTATTTGTTATCTATTACAAAATTGCCATATATA